CTGGCCCCCAAGCCCACCTTTGGCATTCCTCGGGGACTTCGTTGCTTTGCTCCCCTTGCTGCTCCACTGTACACCCTTAGTGCTCACCCTGGTGCAGTGGGGTCGGATCTGGCACATCTCCCACACCGTGTCCCCAGTGCTGTCCCCGTTAGCACTAGGGTCTGTGAGGGGAATCATTGTGTCTCGTGATGGGGCTGGCTATGTGATCCCTCTGTGCATTGGCTGCTCTGAGCCAGAATATTGTCCTCAGGGCTTGGTGGGCCGGGGTGTGTACTACTCTCTCCTTCCCCTTCATTTGTCCCTGGTCAGACACACCCCACTTCCTGAGCTGCGGCTTCAGTGTGCTGCCCTGTGAAGTGCATTCCTCTGGGGTGGAGGTGGAGAGGGTGGGGAGTACTCACTTTGTTGGAATTGGGGGCCGGCCTCACTGACCTCTCTATTGGTTCCCTGGTTCATGCCTGTATGTTGCATTCAGGTCTTGGTGCGCTGGGTTGAAGTCTGGTCCCTCTGTCCCTCTCCTGTGGAGATATAAACAACAGCCTCCCCTTGGGTGGGTTAGTGCCCTGTTCCCCCACCACCCGTACCTCTCTTTTTCCCCCTCCCTCCTTATTATTTGGCTGCCATATTTATCCATGGGTTGGGTTTGGCACTTGCCGTAGTACCTGGACCTCACTCCAGACATGTATGTATTTAGTAGCTTTTCCCATCTGATTTTTAAAGAAATGTCAGCCTCCACACTCAGGGCTTCTCACATGATTGACAGACTTAGTCTTATATTAAATGTTGGCTTTAACATCATGCCACTTTCCCCCTTACTGATCCTCTCTCCTTCAACCATTGGACACACATTTGCAAAGCATTTGCCGTTGCAGGCACTACTGTAGGTGGTAGAGGGGCACCAGTGGAGGGGATAAACCAACTGCTTACTCTCATGGAGACTACATTCTAATGGAGGGGGCAGAGAATAGCAAAGTTGTACTTATTATGCTACCTGGGCGATTAACAAATAGTTAGCATGCTCAGCTGTTAACCAAAAGGTTGGTGCCTCGGAGAAAGGCCTGACAATATACATCTGAAAAATCAATTGTTGAAAACTTTGTGGTATGCAATTCCAATCCGGAACACATGAGATCACCATCAGTCAAAATTGTTTTAACAGGAATCAGTTTTTAATTTTAACTACATTTTGTTTATTTTGCCACCTTTGAGAATATATGAAGAGGTACCCGCCCCCCCGAAAAAAAAACCCAGAATTTTTTTCCAAAGCTATGTATTTGAATTTTTTTTAAATTTACGAAACAACCGTATCACCTTCAAAGTACTCTCCATTACACTTAATACGTTGTCAATTCTGCTATTCCGTCCTTGGAAACATTTTTCCAACTCATCTGTTTGGATGGCTGACAACACCTCCCTCGTTTTTTTATTCACCTTT